GAACAGAACGGACGTGCTGAACGAATCATTCGCACGATCATGGAAAAGGGGGAGGCAATGCGTCACGACGCTTGCATACCACAATCATGGTGGGAATTCTCATTCGAGCATGCAGCGCATGTCTATAACAGAACTCCGATGCGACGACTCAACTGGCGCACTCCATATGAAGTTCTGCATGGTTCCAAACCAGACATTAGCCATCTACGCGTCTTCGGATGTGGTGCCTATGTCTTCTTACCACGCGAGGTTCGCAAGAACAAGCTATCGCCCAAATCAGAGCTGATGGTTTATCTCGGCGTTGGTGATGGTAATCACAACCATAAGTTCATGCGTTTGCCCAATAATGTCATCTTTACGGCCGCTCAAGCGCTGTTTGATGAACATATGTTTCTCAAGTGTCCTGGACATGGAACAAAACGACAAAGGCAGCCTTCTGCGCCTGAAGAGGAAAAGAATGGAAAACCTGCGAACCAGGCACCCACTTCTTCTTTTCTCCCTGATGACAATGAGGAACCACATCGTCCGCTCCCAAAACCTTCTACAAAGGGCAAGGGCAAAGGTCGAGACGTCGTACCTAATGCACCGCCGGCAAATCCTCCTGTACCGCAGCCATTGCGCGGACAACAGCCTGTGCCTGTGCAACGCCCAGTGTCGCCGCCACCTCCACCGGTCAGATCTCGTGCGCCTTCACCGCGCCGATCTGGGAGAGAGCGGAAAGTACCAACTCGCGAGGGCAATGTCTATGGTGAATCACGGCACCCTACAGACATTTTTAAGGAGATAGAAAAACAAACATCGTGGAGGAACTTGGTGGAACAGCGCGGAGAATCGAGTCGCTCTCGACCTGCGTCAGTTCCAAGTCCTCGGAATGAGTCACAGGTTCCCGGACCTAGCTCTTCCAAATCTAATCCACGATCACAACCGCGTTCGCGCGATGAAGTTGTTTTACCTCCACCCTCGAAATGGACCACGACTAGGGAACAAACCCCTATTATCTCATCTGGTAGCAGTGACGCC